ACACAGTTCTCACAAAAATCCCTCAAAAAATATTATAATAAATTTGAAATGTTGAGAAACAGAAATTTCAGAACCCAAAAATTGGAAAACGCAGTAATTTAAAAAATAAAGTATTTTGAGATTGAGATAATCGTAACTTTGGGATTCACGAATTTGAAAATAGAGCAACATTCAAAGAAGTCAGAAATTGAGAAAAAAAATGCAGAAAAAAATTGTTCAAAAATTCGTGAAGTTTTAAAAGTCTACTACTAACATAATTATCATATTTTCAACCAACTCACTAACTTTAGACATGATGCCTATCGCCTACATGACAGTTTTGGGCCTCTCTGGATGTCTGGTCACCGTGTTCATGTCGAACAACATGATCGTCTACATGGTTCTCAGCCCGGAAAAATATGAAGGTAATTTAGACCCACGGAAAGAATTTTAATTGAATTTATCGGTTTCAGAGTACCTGAAAGCATTCGGACGTGAAGCTACAATGGGAAGCACATTCTCGTATCTCTACTCTATTGTGATCACAGGTCTGATGACCGTCAATCGTGTCGTCATAGTCACTAGTCCGCTCTCTGGACACTTCAGTACTCAAAGAATCTTCATATACTCTGGAATCCTTGCTGTTTTGGTCTTCATCACTCTCATCATCCCGTATTTCAGTGATTGTAGCATCACCTTCAGTCTCAATCGTCTTTCCTTCATTTCTGCTTGTGCTCCAAACAAACATTGGGTGAGTTAGAGTTCCGGAACTTTTCGAGTTTTCTCCGAAACTAGAGGGACAATCTGTTTTTTTTTTCAATTTTGCCAAATTATTCCTGTTTTCAATTTCTGCTAGAATGCAAAAAAAAACAAAAAGAAATTGCCCTGAACCAGGATCGAACTGGTGACCTTTAGATCTTCAGTCTAACGCTCTCCCAACTGAGCTATCAAGGCACACAGGAGAAGAGGAGTAGTCTCCGCTGACAAACGCACCACTGGAGGAGGAGAAGAAAAAAGAGGAAAGGGGAAAAAAGGAAATTTTATTATAACGCAGAAGCACGACGCGGACGCAAAAATTCATCAGGAAAGCGAGGAAAATAGGGAAAAATTAATTTGAAGATGAATAAAATATTTAAAAAAATCTATTGAGCAGACTGCTTGTCTAAAATTGTACTGAAAAAAATAGCGTAAACAATTTTTGAGAAATCTTCATATTATTGAAATAGGAAAAAGGAATGGGCCGAACCGGGGATTGAACCCGGGACCTCTCGCACCCAAAGCGAGAATCATACCACTAGACCATTCGGCCACATTTGGAATCGAAATGCTTTCTGCACAAAACATCAGCTGCTTCTACGTTGTTTCAGCGCAAAATGTCAGGATGAGAGGCAAACATCGACCGGTTTCTGTCGAGGAGGAAGTGATGCTTCAAGTTCTAAAACATGTGAAATCTTCGTCGTGGCCGAATGGTCTAGTGGTATGATTCTCGCTTTGGGTGCGAGAGGTCCCGGGTTCAATCCCCGGTTCGGCCCATTCCTTAATTTCCTTCTCTAGCTCGAGTTACATCCATTCTAAGATGTCTCTTACTTTTGACCCCTTTCTTCCCTCTAAGCCCCGCCCCTTTTACACAAAAAACATAGCGGGCGGCGGAACCCGGAAGATGTCGTCCGCTTGTCTACCCTACCCTTTATATACGCCTCGCGTTTGCAGAGGTCTTGTTCTTCCGAGAACATATACTAAAATTGGAACAATACAGAGAAGATTAGCATGGCCCCTGCGCAAGGATGACACGCAAATTCGTGAAGCGTTCCAAATTTTTTGACGAATTTTCTAGGTCGCATAAATTTCATTTTCCCGACGTCTACAGGAGATTTGAACTCAAAATTTAGCAGAAAACGTGTGGCAAGTAAAAGAAATGAAGCCGAAATCAATAACTATCCAAAAATAAAAAACCAAACGGAAAAAGATAAACATTTTTGAGCCTGAAAAGGTTTTGAGAAATCATCAAACTATCGAAAATGAAAAAAGAAATGGGCCGAACCGGGGATTGAACCCGGGACCTCTCGCACCCAAAGCGAGAATCATACCACTAGACCATTCGGCCACATTTGGAATTGAAATGCTTCCTGAACAAAACATCAGCT